TTGATAATGGTTCTATTCTGGTATTATTTTGCACTAGTATATTTTGATAATGGTTCTATTCTGCTATGATACAGAATAATATATTATACCATAAAGCCTTATAGCATATGGCATAAGTGCAGCATATGATGTGCTATTCTATTCTGTTCGATAACGCTATGCTCTGTTATACTGGTTAAGTCATATTAAGATACACTATTTTCGTTCTGTCATGGTTTAACATGATATATTGAAATGCATCACCGTATGTTATAACATGCCTTAGTAGGTTACAGTTTGTTACGTTAACTAATATGTTATATAAAAAACAAAGTTTAACAACATGCAACAAAAGCATAACCCTTCCACCCAGAACCTGCAAAGAACGCCGGAGAAGACCCCATGACTTTTGCTGCATCCTCGTGACGGTGGGCGGGGGCACGACTTCTCCTGACAGCTCGCCATTCCTTATTGTTGGAGCTTGGGGAAAGGTGTTCTATCGCTGGGCCGTGTCCTGGGAATAGCCGTGGCATTATTTCAGCAAGAAGCCATCTGAACAGGCATACTAATACTGGAAATCTTCGTCGTATGAGCAGCTGTAACCCTCAGGGGGCTACAGTGGCTCCATGTCTGCAATGATGGCTGCTCTCCTTTTTGTCTGGCACTTGAACCCCGTTGGCTGCGTTGCCGTGTGACTTCTTCGAAGTCTTCTGCACTGCTCTAAAGTCTAAACGCATGAGTGTCAGGATGGCATGCTCTTTCACACACCCTCCACTATCTGACACTCATCTTTCTCTGCCGTTGTTGAGCTTTCCACTCCAATGATTTAGATTCCCTGACCACAATGAACTCCCCTTGCTTAAGGACATACAAAAGATAATCGATGGATGCATTGCTCTTCGTCATGCCATCAACGACCATCTGCTTGGTGTCCAGCCACCGGAGGATGACGTTGCTGTCGGACAGGTCGCTCTTGAGCAGCAACATGTCTATTGCTACCCTTTTGTCTTTCACCACGATACCGTCACCCTGGGAGTGATCGTAGATGGGCTTGTTGTCCGTCGCGACCATGAGGGGTGTTCTGTTCCGGAACTTCAGGTCGTTCTGCAAGGTGTAGTCTCTGTTGCTGGCTTCAGCCCACAAGGATCGCATCCAATTGGCTTCTGCCACGGCACGTGCTATGGCCATCAGCTCGGCTCCGAGTGTGGACTGCGTTCGGCGTTCCAACTTGTAGCTCTTCCACCGAAGTGGCGTCATCTTGGCCCACACCTCATTCTGTATTTCCCGGTCCACAGCCATCGTCATGTATCCAGCCTGCGTCTTGAGATCGTCGTTGTTACTCCAGCTAGCGTCTGAAGCGGCAAGAAACATGACCTGCGAGATGGGGATAGGCTGAAAAGTGATCCTCACCTTGGAAAGGTCCTTGATGCGCGCCACGAGCTTGTTCGCATCAATCAGCTCCTGCACAGTAGGTGATCCAAGTCTCTGTTGCAATATCGCTGTCTGCGCTGCAATGTCAGGCCTTGTACTACCTACCAGCCAAGAAGCTGCACCCACGACTCCGCGAAGCTGTCGCATCTCAGAGGTTGTGAGAGGCTGGTCTTTTTGCCTGCGTCTCTCGCGGCTGATGTTGAGGACCTCCACTTTGTCTGCATATTCCTTCTGGCTGCACACGATGGTCTTGTCCTCCTTCTGCTCCAGGTATCGGCCGAGAAAATCTCCTTTTCCAATACGCCAGTGCTTGAAGGGGTACGCTTCTTTGAGCTTGCTGAGGACTGTCTCGTGAAACTTTTGGTTCCCTGCAATGACCATGTCGTCGACGTGAGCTGCGCAGATGCCGCCCAGCTCCTCTCCGTCGAACCACATGAGAACACAGGGATCCAACTTCGACCTCCTCATTCCAAGCCCTTCCATCGTTGCCATAAAGCTATCGTACCACTGTCTTGGAGCATCCATCAAGCCGTACACACACTTGATGAGCTGCACCAAGGATCCGGGTGCAGCACCAGGAACTTCTTCCCTGGGCATCTCCACGTATATTGGTCCCGCCTCTCTCTTGAGAGGCTCCCCTTGAAGGAAAGCCCCTTCCACATCTGCAATCTCCAGAAGCCACCCTCTCGATGCTATCATCTGCAGCACCATTGCCAGGCCATCACCTGACAAGGTCGGTGCCTGTCTTTGCAGTGATTCCGCATCAGGATCAAGATATCCCTTGACGCACCACCTGCACTTCAGCTCCATCTTTCCAGGCTGCTTGGGGTGCGGCCTTCTCGTTTTCACAAAGCGCGACTTCAGGATGCGTCCCGGGTCAATCTGCTTCCGAAGAATCTCCGCCTCCGGTCCACTGAACACCTTGATGGCCCCAGTGCCCAGAAGCTTTTGCCACTCCTTCGCCTTGGCCGCAAGCAACTCCTCAACCTCGGTGGCACTCAGATCTCGCTCACGGACTTCTGCATTCCTGAGCTGTTGTGCCATGAAGACATCACTCTGCTGTATTGCTTCCAGCTCTGTCTCAATGCCCTTAGCATGCTCCTCGAGAAGCTGCAGCAGGTTCACCTCCAGCGCGTCCTTGGTCATCTTCAGCTCGACCTGAAGACCCTCGTCATCTTCAGGAACTGGAACGTGGCTCGCCTCGCTCATCTTCCTCATCTCCTCCAGCGTCAAGTCCTTATCCATGGCGTACTGGATTTGCTCATCTGTCGGTCCCGCCGTACTGGATGAAGGTCTCGCCGCCGACATCATTTCCTGTCTGCGCTCGCGACCCTGCGAAGATCTTGGTGCAGGTCCATAGCCTCCGTCCTGAACGGAAGGTCGTCTGGATGCAGGCTGCGAGGCTGTATGCACCGATCCAGAGCCCAGCACAGTGCTCTCGTTGCCGTCCGCCTCGATCTCAGCTGCACCATCTGGAGGACGTTCCTCCTCCACACCTGCATCGTCGAAGCTGACTCGTGGTCTTTTGCTCCGGTCCACAGGAGGTGGCTCCCAGTCATCTGGGGGAACTCCTTTGCCGGATATGTCACTGAAGGTCTGTGCTCCAGGGCTCGGCTGCTCGTGCCTGCATCGAAGAATCTCCATGGGGACCAAGCGAAAGGCCGCCTCTTGATCCTCGCTCAAGCCCCGCAATTGTTCAGGACAGCAGCGTAGCACTTTGTTGCCGTGGCACACCCAGATCCTTGACCTGTTTTCCAGCATGCCAATGATTCGCCCAGGCCCTTTCCAGACCCCTTTTGCGCCCACCAGCTTCCTGTAGTAGTACACTAGATCCCCAACTGAGAAGGGACCCCGTTCCTTTCTGGTGCGATGCTCAATTGCTCTCCGCACTTTGTCTTCATTGTCTGCTTCCACAAGCGCTCGCCTGGCTGCAAGCCGGATGGCTTGCGCTCTGACCACATCGTGGTCGCCATGAAGATATGCTGAATTTGACACAACACATGCATCTCCGTTCAGTATCGAATCGGGCAAACGAGGGCTGCATCCGAAAACGTGCTGACATGGTGCATAGCCGTGTCTCTTCATCATGCCGTTCTTCGAATTGTTCACCTGATCAATCAACTGATTGACCTCCTGCTTGTTCGTGGGAACACACTCTTCAAAGGCTTTCTCAAAAATCGACTTCCAAGTCTGCTGGTTTCTCTCACACAGCCCGTTCTGCCAAGGAGCTTCAGCCGCTGCTTTCTCCGCATATGTGCCTTGCACATCAAGGGCGTTCTGGAATTCCTTATCAAACTCAGTCCCCCCATCAGAGAAGAGTTTCAAAGGCACCCCCGCCCAGCGCGTCCAACCCTTGCGGTACGCTTTGGCCACGTTTTCAGCTGTGGCTCCCTTCCACAGAGGCACACACACATGCATGGAAGTCCCCTCACAGATGATGCTCAAACATTTCAACTTCTTCTGCTGACAAATAGGCACCTCAAAAACATCCACACACACCTGCTGATTAAACCGCTCAGCCCTCCTGTGTTTGCTCACCTGATGTGACGGGACTCGCTGCTTGGCATCACACGTGGCACACCTCAACCGTTTGGCAGATTCAATCGCTTGTTCCTTGGCCTTGGCGGTGCGAAGCATGTAAAGGAACCGTTCACGAGATGGGTGCCCCAGGTTGACATGACATCGACGAATGGTTTCCATGAGTTCTTTGCCGTTTCTCGGATTGTTCAACCTCTCTGACGCAAGCACCTCCACTCCTCTCTTGTTCCTCTCTCTCTTGCACACACGCAACACGGCCTTGGCAAAGCGTTCGGTTTCCATTTCCGCACACGTTCTCCTCTGAACCCTGTTGTCCCCGAGCTTGGTTTCCCCGTCCTTGCTTTCATGCTGATGTTGTTCGTTGCACGCTTGTTCCAAGATGCTCGTGTCCCCTATGTTGGTGATATATTTGCGACTGTGCCTAAACATGTTTCCGGTTTGGGGATCCCGACTGCCAAAGCAACACATGTCCACACTGAAACAGCGACTGTCACTGCACCCTTCTTCTCTCACTCTCTCCCTCAGCTCTTCCACTCTCTCTCGACACATGTGCTCAGGAACTTGCAAAAGGAACATGCCACCGAACTCTCGAACTCTCTCGCACAGCTGCACTGCACACAACACGCACTGCTCAACCTGCTTGCGAAGATTACGCCTTTTAGCCTCCTTCCTGTCAGGCATAAGCATGCTAGGTGTGCACAGCAAAAACTTCGGCCTGCATGTCTCAAGTTCTTTGGCAACAACATCACAAGACTGTTCACTGGCTTCCATGTGCATCTCACGGCTGGTGATTCCCTCTTTTTCGGCAAGTGGTGCTACCCGTGAGCCCGAAAGAACTGAGAGTTTCCCAGCCATGCCACCGTAAATCACATGACAAATCTCAACATCACACCCGCTGGAATCCTCCTCACAGCCCTGTGCCTGGCTATTCAGCCAAGCACAGTTCCTCTCAAGCATGCTACGCACCTTTCTGGACATGATACGTACAGGCGAGGAATCTCCATCCTCTTTGTGCCCCGGCGACTCCGCGCCAGAACCTATGCCACTGTCTCTCAACCCAACTGCTGGATCACGATCTTCTTGCTGATGCCCATGCTCAGGCACGTCTTCACCATGCGCTTGACTTGTTCCTGGTCGCTGGCCAGGATATTGACCGTGAACCACTTCCACCCATGGATGGCATTCTCGGTCACCTGGGGATCCACTGGCACCCAGTCGTCCACTTCCATGGAGCCCCGGCTTGGTGCATCTCGTGTCCTCTTCGGGCTCCCCTTTCGCAACGCCATCTCCTTCATGTTCTGCTGGATCCTCACGGCCTTCCCTTCGTCGCGGAACGCCACGTACACCTTCAACTGTCGCATCACCCGGGAACTCTTGCTGCCGATGTGGACCCTCACCCAGTTGATGTAGTCCTTGTCGTTGATGTAAATGTGGTCGAAGGTCAGCTTCTTGGTCTTGTACTTCCCCTCGGACATCACGGTGCTCCCTGGGACGGGTGCTTCTGCGTCGTCGTGACTCCCATCGGGCTTCTTGTCCAAAGCCGCAATGTCCGTCTCCACCGGTTCCAGAGACAGCTCATCCATCATCTGCACGATCTCCTTGGTGACGTAGCCCGACATGTCGACGCAAGCGATCGGCTTTCCCTGGTTGGCCTCGTTCTACAGTGTAGCACTCTGAGCCGCCAAAGTCGAAGAGAGAAACAGCATAATGTCCCTTCGCGGTTTCCTTTAGTTTCTGTTCTACCTTGAGGTCAGGGAATATTATCCTATCATTGCCCATATCAATGATAGCCCCCAGCTTCCTAAGAAGCTCTTTGCTCAACAACAACGGAGTACACCTACCTTTGCCTGGCAGCACCGCCGCCTTAATGATCAGACGGTGCTCCCCTAGCCTAGCAGGAATGCTTGCCACTCGATCTGTCGTCATAGTCTCAGAGTTCCCGAACCTGAACACATGACTCTCTTCAGCAAACTTCACTCTCAAGCCCATGTCACTCAAACGCTTGCAAATGCACTCCAACGTGTACTCGCCCACGAGAGTCTTGCGACAGGCTGTGTCCGGTACTCCGCTCGCATCGAGATTGGCAACATTGCCTGCTTCAAACACTTCAGGAAAAACTCGGTGCGCGGGCGCGGCCGCCTCACCAATCTCCGCGCTCAGCACCTCCGGCTCAAACTCGCCAGCGGGGTTCAAGCTCACATCCTGTGGAGCCACTGCATAGCCGCCCACGTCCATGTAGAAGCTCTCGTCCCAACCCTCGGTCATGAGCACCTCGCCTTCTGCAAGGTGAGCCTCCTTCTTGGCCGAGTCGTTGGCTGCATGTCTCCTGCCCGGGCACTCACGCTTCCAGTGCCCAAGGCGTTTGCACAGGTGGCATCGCGTCCTTGACTTCAGCGATTCCAGCCGAGCATTCACACTGCCCGACAACTTCCACCTCTGCTCGTCTCCAGGACGCGCAGGTGGCGTGGGAGCAAAACCCCTCGCCTTCTTCTTGTCCAGCAATCTCTTCCTGACTTCAGCATAGCTCTCAAAGGCCTCCACAGCGCCCTCGTCGCTGAGGTCATTGTCCTGAACTTCCTCCGCCACGCTCTCCATCACCATTTGCACCTCATCTTCTTCATCCTGCGTCTCTGCTTGAAACGTCTCGCTGGGCCGGCCTTCCCTTCTGGAAAGATGCGTTGCACTGCCTGCCACACTTGCGCCATGTCGCCCGAGGCCGCCGTGAGGACCATGGCCTCCTGGTTCGCCTCCAAGCGCAGCTTCTTTAGCAGCAGGTACCCTTGAACCACAGGCGGCAACTTCACATCCTGCTCCTCAAGAAGACGAAGAGCCGAAGTGAATCGCACATAGAACTGCCGGTAGCTCTCTCCAGCGCTCGCCTGCAGCTCGTAGAAGAACGTCTTGAGCGCCGTGTGCAGGAGATCGACAGGTTGCGGTGAGTACTTCTCGTCCAGAAGCTTGAAGATTGCCTGGTCTCCTCCTTCAGCGCACAGCTTATCCAACGGCACGCTCTCTAGAAGGATCTCAGCCTCGCCCTTGATGAACTCCATCAGCCGAGGACCGTACTTCTCCTTGGGCACTGTCGTCGGAAGACCTGCTATCATGATCTGTGCCCTGCGCTTCCATCTCCGGTACAAAGAGGGATTGGTTCCATCGAAGCGTTCAAGTCTTTGCTGGCCGCTTAGGTCATCTGCGCCTGAAGTCGAGCTGCTCGCCATGCCGACACGAAAGCTCTACCTCCTCGATCAGAGGTCTCGCTGGTGCCCTTCGCCACCAGCTCCGCTACCACTGTAACCCTCAGGGGGCTACAGTGGCTCCATGTCTGCAATGATGGCTGCTCTCCTTTTTGTCTGGCACTTGAACCCCGTTGGCTGCGTTGCCGTGTGACTTCTTCGAAGTCTTCTGCACTGCTCTAAAGTCTAAACGCATGAGTGTCAGGATGGCATGCTCTTTCACAGCAGCATCATCGCCACTACCAACATCATGCGGAACCATCGTCAACACTGTCACAATCCTCGGCATCGTCCTCTAGTGATCATAAATCGAAACCCTACTTAATAGTAAGATCCACAAGTGTTTTGGTGAGGGTATCGCTCCGGGGATTCAAGGCTTTGCTTTAGAGGACGGGTTCAGGGCTTAGCTTGGGCGTTTGGGAGCCTTTAACTCTACAAATCCGAAGCCCTGGAGCCCAACAGCAGTTGTAGGTCCGTAAACCCTAAACCACGCTTTGGTGACTTGCATAATGTGGAAACCTAAACCCTAAACCCTAAAACCCTAAACCCCTAAAGCCCTTAACCCCTAAACCCTAAGCCTTCCTTTTCATAGTTCTTACAATCTAATTATAAATACCTACGAAAGCCCAAATCGAGTAAGTACGGCCCATACATAAACCCCTACAAGCCCACCGTAAAGCCCTAGTCTCCACTTATTGATTCCCCTATGTCAGTTCTCCCTGCATCCTGAAGCTGCAAGGTTTCACGGTGCTTTTGTTGTTGCTTTGTCGGGAAAGACAGAAGCACAAAACGGACCTATCGGGTTTACTTGGAGGATCAGGGGACGTAGTTTGACTATAGCTATACGGTTGATGAGATAAAACCCTGCATTACCTATGACAAGGAGTATACCATGATTCCCTTAGTTTAGGGTTCTTAATAAAGGTAATGCAAGATTTGTACCATCAGCAGTATCAACCTACGTGTGACCCTGTTTAGTCTACGTATAACCCTACTTGCTGAGTCCCCAGGATCCTCTTCGTATGGTGTAGGGACCCTCCCTCTCTCTACGTTACTTCTCTACCCTAGAGGCAGAGATCGATTCCAAAACCGGCAAAAAGTACCAAACACCTTAAACCAAGAACAGTCCATGCAAGCTCTCAGCCCTACAACCCCAACCTTGAACCCCAAACCCTAAGCCCCGAGTTGCAAGGAAGCCGCAGAACTTTGTTGTAAGGTCAGTCTTTACACTCCCCCCTACGAAGTCTACATTACATCACCAGCTTTGAAAATCGAGGAATATTTCGAGGGGCCCTAGTAAGATTTACGGCAAATCACTGCAAACACGCAATGAAGAGTTAAGACTTTCTGGGGTTGTGGTTGACGGTACATGGCTGCTGAGTATGTGGTTTGGGGCTGAAGGCAGCCATGCGGCATAGCCCTTTGCAACAGAGCGATTTCTGCCGGAGACAGGTCAGATACCGTTGCTGCCCGGCACGCCGCAGCCATGTCCCCGGAAGTCATCAATTCGAGTTTAGAGTGTGGAATCAGACCCTTGTCTCATGGATCAAAATAAATAGCTGAGTCACAGAGCCGCCTGGGTTTAAAGCTGCAAACCCCATCTATTCTGAAAAAGACCTTCAACAAAATAAGACCTGAATATTATGACCTGCGCAAGCTAAACCCAAATCCTCATATACATCGCAAAATGAATGCTGACACCCTGACCGCTAAACCCTAGGCCCTAAACTGGTATGTGATCCTGTCGTCACGCTTTCTTGTTGAGCCACGCCTGACCGAACAAAAATGCGGTCAGACTTGCTTGCATTCGGTCGTTGAGGCGTATTTGCAACAGTGAGACTCCATTTAGCCTCAGTATTGCACTGTTACCACTGTCCGTCATGTTACCGTAAGTCTTATGTTCCCTCAAAGCTCGTTACTACTGCTGTCGTAGTGTCGATGGTGATGGTGATGATGACGTCTTCATCATCGTCACCATCATCAGCGTCATCGCCGTTCTTGTCATGGTGGCGTTTGCTAGCAAATGCTAGTATGACAGAGACTTGCTTTGCACAGTAAACCTTGGATCGTGAAAAATGAGGTTATTGCGAAGGTGGGTGCTTGATTCTGAACATGGATGTAGAACCAAGACAAGACTGCCAATCTTACCAAGCCACCTTTTATGTGGACGTTCGTATTAGGGTCCCTGGAATTGACAGATAAAGCAAGCGGTGTTGTCACGTCCGTCTGCATAACCCCCCCGAAAACCCTAAAGCCGAAGATTCGTAAAAAAAATAACTTTACTGAAAACCCTCATAGAATCCATACTAAACCCGTGTAACACCATTAGAACCCTTCAACAGCCCCAGCAATCACGCCTGCCTGGGCTTTTGGATACGGCTCTGTGTGCTGCAGTCTGAGACTGCGCAGCCCTACATCTTGAAAAGAGTTGCAACATGGGGCTTCCACAGCCTCTGCTTCTAGACGGCTTTTTCAGGGGTTGTGTAAGAGTTTCTGTATACAGGTTCCATACGGGTCCCAGGGCTCTATGAACGTTTGTATTACGAAGTTGAAGGCTCTATGAGGTCTTCTATACCTTAAAGCCCTTCTAGACTAGAATACCCTACTCAACCCTAAACCTTGCACCTCAAACCTGTACCCCTACGCTGGCTTGGACTTGTCATCGTCCATCATGGAATCCCAAAGATCGTCGAAGTCCGCCTCAGCTGCCAGTGCTTGGGACAGAGGTAGGGTTTTACAAGTTTATAGGGTTTAGAACGTGGGGTTTAGGGCGTGTTTGCAGCGTGCGGGCGGTGGGTGCGCCTGTTTACTTTAGGAATTAGGAACAGTTGCGCACCCACTCCATCGCGCTTGCGTCAGCATGTAGTGTCGCCCCAACCACCCAAACTATTCTCAATTAGGGTTTAGGGCCCACCCGCCAAACCCCCCTCAAGGGGGGCTTTCTTGCCCTCGCAGTTCTGCATAAAATGCGCGTTTCACAACAAGCCACAGCTGAGATGGATTACTGTCGGTTTGTGGTCCTCGCGGCCTCTGCCGGCCGCTCGACGAGAAGCAAGGGTTCCCAACAAACAATTCGCCCTCGCACGTTCCCAGTGACGGCAGGTCTGGGTCACTGAAATCCCCGGCCTGCAAGCTTTGGACATTGAGCTGGCCCTGGGAAGCTGGCGCTTCGCCAGACGGAGGGCACGGTTCTAAAGGTCATGAGCTGGGCGGCGTCACTACGGTCCTCGTATACCGGGAGGCTTTACCCCCCTCACCGTTCTGACGGCCGGGGGCCTCGGTCGGAGCCTCGAGCGCCCATGCACATGGTCAGCGGCGCTCTCGGCAGTTTAGGGTTTAGGGGTTCAGGGTTTAAGGGTGTTGGGTAAGGGCTTTTGGGCTTAGGGGTTTAGGGGTTTAGGGGTCTCGGGTTTCGGGGTTTAGGGTTTATGGTTTGGGGCTTAGGGTTTAGGGTTTGGGGTTTAGGGCTTAGGGTTTAGGGGTTTTGGGTTTAGGGGTTTAGAGTTCTGGAGTTTAGGGTTTGGGGTTTAGGGGTCATAGGGTTTAGGGTTTCGGGTTCAAGATTTCAGAAGCTAAAGGATCACAGCACCGAGTCAGTCGGTTCTGGGTAGAGTTTACGTATTTACGAAGTCTTCTCATCCTATAACATGTACAAACCCGTATAAAACCTTTATACATCCCTATTAAACAACCCTACGAAAGCTTCACACATCCCTACAAACAACCTTTCAAACCTTATAACCCCTTGAAGATCCGATACAAGCCTCTCTAACACCCTGTAAGTCCCCTATGCGGATGGTTTGCCGGAGTGGAAAACAAAAGGTACCCTGCGCAGACCCCTGCAAGGATCTACAAAGCAGATCCCCCTAATTTGGGACCCTATGCTACTAAATTTTGAAGGGTGCTTTATAGTAAATTTCTTATGTGCTGAAACCCTAAAACCCTTAACCCTAAAACCCTAAAGCCCTAAAGCCCTAAAGCCCTAAACCCTAAACCGCCACTAACTTTAGAGGGAGTCTGTGGCAAAGCCCCCAGGATGGCTCCAGGGTCAGAGACCAACCTACACCTTGATTAAGGAATATACATCTTAAATTATAGGGGCCTTAAAGGGATCTGTAAGGGTCTCTATAAGGGAATTAAGGAATATATATCTTAAATTATAGGGGCCTTAATATGATGATTTAAGGTCTATTCCTTACTTAAGGGATATTGGGCTCTCTGGGAGAATGGCTCCAGGGTCAGAGAGCAACCTGCACCCTGCTCGAGTAGGGCTTCCCTTTGGGTTCTGGATTTTTAGGGTTTAGGGTTTAGGGATTAAGGATTTTAGGGTTTTTAGGGTTTACGGGGTTTAGGGTTTAGGGTTTTCTA